GATCGGCGTCACCTGGCGTTAAGGGGTTAAATTACCCTGATTAGGCATGTTCAAGGGTTGATGGGGGCAAGACAGAGATACCAAGTGTATTTAGAGTGCGAGAGGTTTCCATTGTCTTTTTCTTATTTGCGACGTTCACATTCATGTCTGCAGATTAGGTAATTCTTTATAATATTTAACCCATTTCCGCCAGGTGAAGAAAATAAATAAAAAACTATGCTCTTCAGATTAATGGCAATGAGCCGACTTTGAGCGTGGGAATTCGCTACATCAAGCTGAACGCTCGGCTCACAGCGGGCGTTCAGCTTGACACCACATCCCAAAAATAATTCAACAATATAAATTGCTATGACTTGGTGTGCCCTTTGGATACTGCCTTGAAGGGAAGGTTGATGGGAGGGCTCTTCTCCCCTGTACCCCCTGGAAAGCATTGTCTTCACCTCGGTATGCATGGCAAGATAGAGCTGAAACACAGGAACAATAACTTTTTGATCTGTACAAGAATATCATCTTTAATTTGCCCTATCTTAGTGAAAATTGGCATCAATTTGTCCTAGCTTTGTGCATCCATCCCTGGAGAGCATAAAATGTTGTATACTAAAACCCAATATATACAGACAATATTTTAGGCATTTTTTCCCTAAAATTCATGTGTCAACCATTTGGAACATTTCCAATCAGTATTGAGAAAAAAATCAGTAAAAGAATCTGCTAATAAACATCATATCCTTTTGTCATACCCTCTAATATCAGGATGATATCCTTTCATGTTATACCTCTAAATGCTGAGGTGATATCTTTGCATCATGCATAGTCGAGCATGCTCAAAGTTACGTACCTTCGCTAAAACATTTATGCACTTGTTTTTTTTATAGCTCCTCAAATGTAGGTTAAAAGCCTCTTTTTTATCTGAATTACCTAACGAATTGGGTTGGTCTTTATGTTATGGATATTATCCTGATCTATTGGTGTATGATTCAGGAGTATTTAAGGATGTTTCATTTTCTTTCTTTTTTCTTTTTTTTTTTTTTTTTTTTTTTTTTATTACAAGTTACTCAATATTAACCAAAATGTTTAATTTATTTTTCATTTTTATTTGTTTAAAAAAAAAAATACTTACCATTACAGGCAGCAGACCAGCTTGCAGTGCGACAGAAGAGAAGAATATATGATATTACGAATGTGCTTGAGGGAATTGGACTGATTGAAAAGAAAAGCAAAAACTCAATAGTATGGAAAGGGGGAGGGCCAGGATCCAACACTCAGGAGTTCACAGATCGAGCAACAATGCTGAAAGGAGAAATCTCAGAGTTAGATCAACATGAAAAGATGCTTGATCAGCATAGACAGGTCAGTATTGGTTGGATGCATCTCGAAATAGGGAAAAAAATGTTGTATTATATATTATATATCTATAACACACACACACACACACACACACACACACACACACACACACACACACACACACACACACACACACACACACACACACACACACACACACACACACACACACACACACACACACACACACACACACACACAATTGTAATTGTGTATATATATATATATATATATATATATATATATATATATATATATATATATATATATATGTACACATGCACATACATACATACATACATATGAATATAAACATATATACATATATTATATATACACATTCATATGTATGTGTGTATATATATACATACACATATTCACATATGTGTATAAATGTATTTATATACTTACATACATAGACTTATTTATGTATGCATGTGTATGTATACAAATATGTGTGCATTTATATACATATATGTATACATTTATACACATGTGTATATATAGATATATTTTGTGTAAATATATATATTATATGAATATATGTCCCTCTGTATTTATATATATATGTATTGTATATGTGTATATATATATGTATGTGTGTGTATATATACATATATGAAACTTTTCTACCCCAGTCCTCCAGTATTTAATTTTTTTGGACATTTTGACTTTGACAGTATGTTCAGCAAAGCATAAAGAATATCACAGAGGATCTGAGCAACTACAAGATGGCCTATGTAAATCATGAAGACATCTGTAACTGCTTCCAAGGAGACACTCTTCTGGCCATCCAGGCACCCTCAGGGACACAGCTTGAAGTTCCTATTCCCCAAATGGTAAGTGGAAGATAAGAGGAGGCATTAGTTTTGTATCTGCCATACTGTGGTTAGAGGTGTCAGAACTAGATTGGTTTCATAAGTGGGAATAAGGTTCATTATTACTTATGAAATATTACTTTTAAAAGTGTGCCAAGATACGTTGTATGCACTAGCAATCAAAGTTCTTTGAAGAGGTTGTGTGGTTGAAGCAATTGATGTTACAAACTTACACTTTTCAATGCATTTTTATTGTGTAAATTTTGTTTACACATAGATGGCCCCAAAACCACTTGTTACCAAGGGGCCAATGACTTTAAAATTTATGCAATTCTTTGAATTTCCTTTGTTAGTCTTTATGGTATGGATGCACTAAGCTAGAGCAAATTAACCCATTGCCGTCGGGGATGGCATGTACCTACATGCCATGCCCACTGTGAGTCGACTTGTTCGATTGTTTTTACACATAGATGGCTACACTTGTACTAAGTATCCAGTGAGCCAATTACGAGTACTGCCTGTCTCGCCCGTTCACCCTTTTCATCGATTTATGAAAATATTTAACGTTATCCTAATTTGCTGTTAAAAATAACACCATCTATGTTTATAACACTAGTAAGAATACGTTTTTTCCCGCCAATTTAAGGAAAGGTGAAATCAGGACTAGCAGAGCCATCTATGGACAGACATATTTCACAAAAACATAAAAAATGAGTACTGCATTCTCCCCATTTTTTGTTCATTTTCCCCCGGCAGCAATGGGTTAAAGGTGATATGCTTTTAGAGGACAAAAAGGTGCAGTCATTAATTCAAGAAATAATATGTGGAGATGAATGGTAATTCATCTCTACAGTTATCAGTTATCTCTAGAAAGGAAAAAGGTCGCAAGATGCGCTGCTCACATCTTGTGTCCACTCACAAGTTTCAGCTCTATCATGCCATGTATACTGAGGTGAAAACAATGTTTGCCAGGGGGAGTCGAGAGCAGAGCCCCCAATCAACCCTCCCCAAAGGGCACCCCAATCATGGTTACCTAGATTGTTGAATAGATTTTATGATGTGGCGTTAGGGACCTAGTCCCTGGAAAACGCATCTATACTGTAAAGAATTACCTTTTTCTTCTTCTTCTTCGTCTTCTTCTTTTCTTTCTTGTAGTACTTGTCTTTTGCAGCTAAAAAAAACACACACACACACACACACACACACACACACACACACACACACACACACACACACACACACACACACACGGATACATTTATATGTATATGTATACATACATATACATATATATGTGTGTGCGTGTGTGTGTATCCCCCCCCCCCCTTCTTTTTATAATAGATAATTGTATATTCTGATCCCTATCTATTTTTCATTACTTTTATGAATGCTCATCCACATACTGATATGAAATCTTGCAGGTTAATGGTGAAAAAAAATATCAAATTCACCTCAAGTCAGAAAGTGGCCCTATCTATGTCTTGCTAGTCAACCAAGAGCAGGAGCACACTCCACCTCTGGTTGTGCAGGTGAGTTAGCTTTATTAGATTTAGTTTGAATATATATTGATTTTTTAATGCTGATGTTAGCCTTGACTGTAGTAAAGAATTCCATAGGTTTGGAATCATGCAGAAAGGAAAAAAATCTTTTACATTGTTTAATCTAGCCTCATGCTCACATGAATTATATTTTTGATGCTGTAATACAGGTTCCTCCTCCTACTGGTGTAATGAAACAAGAGATTGAACCACGGGGCATAAAAAGATCCTCCTCCCCCCCCTGTAGCCAGGCACCTTTCACCCGCCCACGTTCCACTCCGCAGAAAGGCACAACTGCACATACTCCACCCACACGAAGTCCCTCTCATCCAGAGGTAAACTGAAAATAGTGTGTGATTTGACTGGTCATTTACTTCTTTTCATATTTTAGAATGTGTGTATAAATTGTGATGAAATATTATATGAGAAGAATTATTTTCAGGGTGTAGATAGTGTAGAAACTGCTTCTGTATCACGCCGAGTGCCACGCAAAGCATCAGCTGGAGTTAGTAGTGTGACAGAAGCCTTAGCACCCAGAAGAGCGCGTAAAAGACAGGAACAGGCAGCAGCTGCAGCAGCTGCAGCTCTTTCATCAACTCAGCCAAGTAAACTATATTTTTCTTTCTTTTTTTTTCCCCCAACATTTAACTTTGTAGTAGATAATTTAAATATATTGAATGACCACAGAAGACTATTGATGAATGTACAATTAATATCTTCAGTTATTTAGCTGATCAACTGAGAAAGAGGAAATGTTTCTTTCACTTCCTTTGTGACAATGATATATTCAAACCTTAATTCATATGACTGACTTGACAAATTTCCATCATTTTTATAATTACTTATTGTGGAAAGTAGTTCTCATATAAAATGTTTCTCATCTGTTTGCAGCTGAAGTTGTAAAACATGAGAAGGTTGAGGATATGCTCCCTATGCCTGTAGCAAATATAAAACAAGAACTTCGAGAGGATAGCTTTGCGAACACAAATATTTCCCACACAACCGGTAAGTGAATGCTCAGTGCATGTACATACATACATGTGCAGGCATGCGCACACACACAAAAAAAAAAGAGATTGAGATTAAGATTAGATTAAGATTATCACATGTGCATTCAGAGGCTACATAACAAAATATGTACAACTATAAAATTAAGCAATTTTAGAATATGTTATTAGAAATAAGAAACTTGATTTAGGTCAGCTTATTTTACTCAAAAAGGCTAAATTTGATAGTTTTGAGATTCCCATTTTTGAAGCTCTCAAAGATCAGCAAAGTCAAAGTGTAGTTTGCACAATAAATATATATTAAGTAAAAGCTGATAAAATGAAATACATCTTTGTATAAGAACTGTAAGCCCTCCCACTTATATGCCTCCAGCTGCAACTTAGGCCTGATTTTACAATTTTCACAGAGGCAAGCCTTGTTGCTGGCATCTTTCATGCTAGAAAATATATATTTTACTCTCATTTTTCACAAGAGCAGATATAGAGCCTATGGTTGGAAATGTTACCTTAGTTACCTTTATGTTTAGAGAAATAAAATCATTTTTATTTAATGAAAAAGCAAAATATATATTTAGACTACAAGCTTCAAGATATATAGATAGAAAAAAGTATGGTTTGTGCAGGTTGAATCTGGGAGAGGAAAAGATCAGTGGTATGTCTGGATGGACTTTACCATACCCTACCAGAATTACTAATTCGCACTTGGTACTTTCTGTTCGCAAAGAGAAAGGTGGAGGAAATCATTACTATGATAGGCTGAGGGAGATGGGGGCCTACAAGGGGGTGAGGGTATGGGGTATTGTGGGTTTGTCTGGAGGAAAATTGACAAACATTATTGTTGATCATTAACATTATTACCATTATTATTATCATTGTGATGTTATTGATAGTAGTAATATTGATAAACTCCTTTCCAAAAATTCAAGGAATAAAGCAATTGGTGAGATCATGTTGGCTTAGTAATGAACTCCTTGATGACTTGAGTGCTTCTGGAACCATCTCTGAGTAAATAAAATTAATGAAGCAAAACCTATGTGAATAGTCGATATGTTTCCATATGTCAATGGGTTAGATATTATCCACTTATCATTAACTGATTTGCTCCATTTGTTTTAAGAGACACACATTGCTCGTGTACAGGGCTTTCGCCCGTGACTGTAACATTGAATGTGCTGTCCTGAGAGTCTCTTATCTAATACAGTTTCTTTCTCTCTCATGCACGCATACACACACACGTGCACACACAGAGTTGAAAGAAATTGTTTGATGAAGCCTCAAGTTCATTTCATAGTAAACTAAGATAAACTCTCTCTCTCTCTCTCTCTCATTCTCTCGTTCATCCCTGGTGGAGGGGTAAGGGATAATGTAAAGGATAGGGGGATATAGAGGACAAGGTTAGGACCACAAAGAGCGAAGCTGTGATGTAGACTGTTCCAATGATAGCATCTCATTTTGGGTAGAGGGTGGAACTGTAGAATTTCTAGGGCAGTATATAGAGTCTAAAAATAGAGCTAGAACAGAATACGGGGATCACTCAGCAGCAGCTAAAATAAAATGGAATTATGACGCCAACATGGGCAGCACAGTATATTCCACTGCTGCTTCATGACACTGAAACCGGTGTCACTGTAAAATAAAAGCCCAATGTTGGGATCACCCCCTTCCTTGGGCCTTAGAGTGCAACTGAACCAATTTTGCATGCTCTTTTCTTCTCTCTCTTTCCTTTTCCTTTTGCCACAAGACTATTATAGTGCTGTGCATAGGCTTTTTCAGTTGCCATGTGGTCTGCCAAACTGGTTTATCTATATGGGCAGCATCTGTAGGGATGCCACTCGTAAACATGGGGATAAAAAATATTTTGAAACCAGTCTAAATGCCTTAGCATGGGAGACTCTGTAGCCTGTGATTCTACTAATCAGTAGAGGCTGAATAGAAAAACCAGGGCTTCAGGGAACACTGCCCCCCCCCCTAAATTGGGTTAAAATGACAGGTGCAATCTTGTAAATATAACTCACATTTCCTATCTGCCCCCAGCATCAATCAAGAGGGTTTTGGTTTTGTTTGATAAGTTCCATTTGGATATAGCAGTAGTTTACACATGTGTCAATCTAAATTCAAAATAATGGAAATGATTGTTAGAATGTTGTTTGTAGGAATTCATCCTAATTTGGTAAAAAAAATTATATCAGATCTAAAATTGTGTTGGACAATATAGACAAATGATTTTTCATCAAAAATCGTCCCTAGAATTTGCTTGCCATCCTTGCTACAAAGGGGCAAAGTAGATATTCTTGTCCCCTCAACACACTAAATAAATGATAAATCAGTGATTTCCCGATGCAGATTCAGGATATTGGCAGCCCCCCTCCCCCAGTAATTATAAATTATGTTGTTGTTTTTATCCCAGATGACATACATCAGAAATGAGCATATCCTATATTTATAGTGCATGGTCTCCAAAAGTTTTCTTAGAGGCTTTCCTCAAACCCTCTATCATTTTCCTTTGCCAAACATAGTCGCTTAGTGTCTACTTCTGACAGAGATGTAGATTGCTCAGGTCTGTTCAAGTGTAATGCCATTGACTTTCAGGATGCATGGAAGCAGTATAAGCAGCTCCCAGACCCATCATTTTGATAATGCATGTGTAACCTTCATAAAATCAAACCAGAGTATATTGCATACTATATTTTTTTTTCCTATTTTTTTAGACACAATGCTGTCAACAATGGGAGAAGGCCTTGTAGAAGAATTAATATCCACAGAAAGTGAGTATTTATTTACATTACATAA